GCGGCGCCTCGGGGCGAGCGGCGCCCGCGGCGGGGGCGGCTGCTCCCACAGTGAAAATCACTTGTTTTTTTCTTCTCCCTCCCCCCTTTTCTGCCTTGCAGCCTAAGTAAAGTGGKTAGCGAGTATAGTTACCACTTGCCTAACGTAAATAAAACCAAAAAGTAATATTGCCTATAATGTTAACATTCAAAGTTCCTTGCTCTGAATTTACTTTTCAGCTTTTCAGATACTGATCTGCTCCTGGCAACTGCAAAGGTCTGTAGTGCTCCATAAGCTTAGATGAACTAAAAAAAAAAAGACATTTGTAACTTTTATTTTTAAAATTGTGGGTTTTGGGTTTTTTTTTTTTGGCAAATGCTATAAATTACTGTATTAATATCATAGACAAAGGCTTGTTTTTTAAACAGATAGAGACGATTCCTGAAAGTATTTAGAAGAAAAAAAAATCTGCTCCACAGCCACGGCCATTTTTAAATCTAAACATCTGAACGTTGGAGCTGGCTCTGTGGTTTCCTCACCAGATAAAAAGCTTCAGCGAGATCAATAACCTGGGCACACCACATGGGTAATAACTGCGGAACATCTATTAAAAACACAATATTTGTTCCTCAGCCTGATAGCGTTCTTAACTCAGAAATGTGAAGCGAGTGGAGAGGCAGTCAGAAGCTAGTTCAAAAGTCCAAAAGCCAGTACAAAAAGTGACATTTCAGCTGCCTGCCGCTAGTGTTGCAATTTTTAATTAGTTTTACATGCTCCGAGATGGCTTTGCCTGCCCTTTTCAYATCACTGCAGCTTTATCTCATGTATCTACAATATCTTGTTATGCACAAGGATCTTTTTATGAGAACATTCTCTGCTGTGATCACTTTGCAATACCAGGAGACAATTAATATTACTTGCATCTCACAAGTATGTGCATCATTCACCCAGATTCCAACTGAAAGCCTTACTTTCTAAACAGTTTGTTAGGACTAGATATTCACAGAGCTACCCATATTCATAAGGAGCCACCTCGCACAAGGATCACAGAACCCATGCACGTATCATCATGACAAACCCAAAAGACACACACTTCATTAACGGTCATGACAAAGTGCCCCTTCTCCTCTTTTTTTAATTTTTTTTTTTTTTTTTTAAAACCTTTTCTTTCCTTTGTTTTTATTTGTGAAGCCCGGTCCCTCTGAAGCCTAGAGCGTTGCATCCTAATTGGCATTCAGAGTGGCGAGCTGTTCTGAAGATTTCAAAACAAGCTGTATATGATACCAGACACCACTGAATCGAATACATAATAATTTTTCAGACTCCTGTGATCCTATCAATATTACATTCAGAAATATTTTTAGTTAATAGTCGTTCATCTCAGCTTTCCGGGGAGGTTCGTATTGCCACAAATTTAACAAAAACCTTCTGCTCATCGTTCATATAGGGAAAAAAATACTGCAAGATCAACTGGAATGACATAGTTCGACAGCTGTACATTTGGTATTCAGCACTCCCAGATGCATCTAACTGTATTAATAAAACACACAATTTTCTTGATAGCTCTCCAGTGCTGCTGAGTCACCATGTATATTCATTAGCAAGGGATCTGTCAAGTTCCCCGTAATAATTGCACAAGAGTTGCTCTGTAATCACTTCTAACACTCGGCAGCTATTTTACAGGTGGAAATTAAAACAAAATTCATTCTTAAAAAAGGAATCTTTATAATCCCCACTTTAAACCAAAGCAGTCCAGACTAATCTGAGTTTGGATATTATGTACTCAAAGACTAAGGTCAGATATTTGAAAATTAAGTGCTCTTAGAGCAAGAATTGACTTTTCACTGTGCTGTTTGCACAGTATCACAACATAGTATTTAGAGAATAGGTAGCAACTTTTATGTGCTACCATAATGCATAAAAAACGCTCCTAAATCGTCCTTTTTAACCTGGCTTGAGTTACACTGCAAACTTAAGAAAGGGAGAGGGAATGAAATCTTTATTTCAAGTCACTGAATGAGCATGCCTAGATATAGCTGAACTTGCTTTTTTTTTAGATATACTTTCATAAGGTCAGTAGAGCTTAAAATATGGCAAATGTTGCTGGATGCAGCTTTAACTGCAGCAATTCCTGTAAAGTGTATCTAATTGAGGAGTTACCTGCTGCCTGCCTACCTAAATGGGTATGTGCACAGTAAAAATTTTAGTGCATAGGCTTCTTTAGAGCTTTATACCCCAAACTATTTGATAATATATCCATTCTAGCACACGAAGCTTACTTAAGTTGAAGTGCAATTTAGGCTACCTATGCCAATTTTTATAGCAAAGCAGTCTGCACGCATGCGGGTAAAACATTACATAGCAAGGCAAGTAAAAACACTGCTGTCAGCACGCACCTTCAGCCCAAATATTAGAAAGTAAGAGGATTTGCTGAGAAGAGAGGGTTTTATTTGAATATCTTTAAAGCTGCATCTCATYGGACCTTTTTAGTTCTCATTGCTGTTGGTAGGCAAACTTCTCTGCAGCGTTTTTGCTGCTCTAYCTTTAAATAACACAGCACTTGGCACCAAAATGCATAAACAATCATAATAAACTYGCCTCATTTATCACGCTCCTGGATTTACTGAAGATACTTTAATTAATTGCCACTTAGTGCTGAATAAGTGCTTAATAAACCAAAATCAGAGTGAATCGTATACTCTAATTACACACTACAATAAAAGGCTGCTTTGATTGCAAAGACAAGTTCTAGGGTAAGGACAGCATTTTCTAGAGGTCAGCTCCCAGCTACTAGTTTCTGGCTTTTGAGAACAGATGTTAACTTTTTTTAATACACAAGAGCTGTGCCCATCATCTCTTTCTGTAGGAATCCTTTATTTTAATCATGCTGCTTCTTTTAATGATGCTAGCAATTTCTCCTGACCTGCACAAGGATGCAGTTTAAGTTTTTATATTTCATCCTGCCTAAATATAGGAAATCAAGCTGCATTCTGGCCAATTATCCTTAGTACTTGTTCCTAAAAGGCTGAATAGAGAGTCCAGGCACAGCTCAGGCAGGGGAAATAGACTGAAGTCTTTCTCTCTTTGCATACCCATGCAAGGGAAGCTCATAGTGGTGATGTTGGAGTTGGGAGGATGATTTTGTGTGGTAGGAACCCCTTAGGCATCCTTGAAGCAGAATGATCGAAAAGGAAATAGCAGGAGCTTTACACATGAAAGATGACCAGGAGGGATCATAGAATCCTTCAGGTTGGAAGGGACCTCCAGAGATSATCCAGTCCAACCACTGCTCCAGCAGGGACACCCAGAGCACAGGGCGGCATCCAGGCAGGTTGGGAAGATCTCCAGAGAAGGAGACTCCACAACCTCCCTGGGCAGCCCGTGCCAGGGCTCTGGCACCCTCACAGGGAAGAATTCTTTGTTAAGTTCCTGTGGAGCTTTTGGTGCTTCAGTTTGTAGCCGTTTCCTCTCTGCAGTTTCTCTAAGCCATGACCATTGGCACACTTGAATTCCCACCCTCTTCAGCTCCCTTAACAAGTATTTTTATGGCAATCTATGTGGAGCAGCTTTACTGAATGCTTCCTGCCTCCCAGGAGATTTTGATCTCCTTCCATCTAATCCCCGTTCCTTTGCTATTTGTGCAGAAGCTTAACAGGAATTTTTGAGGAGAGCTTTGCTAGACTCATTTCCCTTTTCTCCTTTTTTTTTTTAAAAACCTTCATTATTGAGCAAACATTCATCTGCCAGCCTTGTGAAAGCAGCACTGACGTACATTGTGAAGCAGCTTAAATCTGCTACCTGTTGTCCTTTTTTCCCTGGTAATTTAAATGCATGGATTTGTCAGATTCCATATGCCGCACACTTTTTCATTCATTTGTGGGCACTGTTTTAAATCTTTGCTTCCAACTCTGATCATCCAGCTCCAATTGATATTGGTCAACACTAGCACCTTTTAAGACTAAACTCTAAAAAAGGCCAAGTTCAGGAGAGATAGAAGCACTACGTTTTCAGACCAGATATTTCCTTCAGAACTGCTGCATTACCAACAAATAATTCAYTGCTTACCTATCTACTCAAGTATGCTATAAATAAAAATTTTGAAAGAAGCATTTATTTGCATTGTCAAGGAAGA